CCGCCTGTGAGAGGAGATCTCTCCTGACGGGAATCTCCCATGGAGCGCCGTCGAGGAGAGAAATCAGGTCCGAGAACTATACTCGGCCCGGCCAGAACGGTGCTACTAGCATTAGACGGATCCTGTCCCGGCGCACTCTCTCCAGAACTCCCGGGAGCAGAGCGATCGGGCGAAAGGTGTACAGACAAAGCCTCGGCCACGTTTGTACCATGGCATCCAGCCCCAGTGGAGCCGGATGAGTCAGAGAGAACCAGAGGGGACAGTGCAATGTCATCTGAGTCACAAACAAGTCCACCTAAGCCAGGCCAAAAATTCTCCATATCTGCTTCACCACCTTGGGGTTGAAGCCTCCATTCCCCTGGCCTCGGCACCTGCCTCGACAGGATGTCCGCTCTCATATTCAAATACCCAGGAATATGTACTGCTCTCAATGAAAGGATTTTGCCCTGGGACCACACAAGGATCTGGTGCGCTAGCTTGTACAAGGGGCGCGAACGCAGACCTCCCTGGTGGTTGATATAAGAGACCACCGCTGTGTCGCAGGTGGACACCGACACATGGCGACCTTTAAGGTCCGGGAGAACGTGTTTCAACTTTGCTAGAAACACGGCCAGGATCTCCAGGCAGTTGCCACGTGAGATGGCGGCCGCTCCACAGACCGCGCGGGCCGAGCAGCCACTCATGACCGCTCCTTAACCGGTGAGGGGCGCGTCCGTCGCTAGCATTAAAGCGGCGACAAGGAGCTCCCAGCACCAAGCCCTGAGTCAAGAACCAAGGTTTCCTCCACATGTCTAAGGCACCTCCGCATGACCTTGAGCATGCTAAGCGGGTTTCCCCTCAGGGAGAACCCCTTGGTCTTGAGCCACCACTGTAGGGGTCTCATGTACAGCAGGCCAAAAGGTATCACGTTGGACGCAGCTGCCATCAAACCCAATAGTTTCTGAAACTGCTTGACAGTGAGTGACTGGCCTCTGACTCGCTTGACTGCCGTGAGGATCGACTCGATCCGAGCAGGGGACAATCGTGCCTGCATCGGGGTCGAATCCCACACCACGCCCAAATAAGTGGTACTCTATAATGGAGAAAGCACACTTTTCTTGGCGTTTTGTCTTAACCCTAATTCTTTCATGTGAGCAAGAACAACATCTCGATGTTCAACCGCCATCTGCTCTGACTGAGCCAAAATCAACCAATCGTCGATATAATTTAGTATGCGGATGCCCTGGAGTCGCAGTGGAGCCAGAGCAGCATCCACACACTTCGTGAAAGTGCGGGGTGAGAGTGACAGGCCGAAGGGAAGAACTCAATATTGGTATGCTTCGCCCCCGAAAGCAAACCCAGCCTGACCTGCCGCCATATAAGCTTTCCCAACCAAACTCGATGTAAGCCTAACGGGCCTGGTGGGAAGCTGCGAGGCCTTCAGGGATGATGCTGAGGATGGGGAGAGATAGCTCGCAAGCGTCTGCTCCACCACTGGCATCGCCCCATATCCCTTATCATTCAGCCCCACGATGTTCTTTTGAATAATTCGAGACTGTGGGGCTGTAAATACGGGATGAGTACGGTTTCTCCCACGATCTTGACACCTCAGCATGGAGATCGGGGAAAAACGGAAGGCCCCGTTGTGAAGGCTGTGATCTGGTTTCAGAAAACGCTCGTCTAATTACTTTTAGGACGAGCGTCCTGTTTCTTGGCTGGCCAAACGATATTTTATTTTGGCGACTGCACGAATCACACCCCATAATTACTTTTAGGACGAGCGTCCTGTTTCTTGGCTGGCCAAACGATATTTTATTTTGGCGACTGCACGAATCACACCCCATAATTACTTTTAGGACGAGCGTCCTGTTTCTCGGCTGGCCAAACGATATTTTATTTTGGCTACTGCACGAATCACACCTCATACGCAAGGGACTGCCGAGACGTCACGGGCAGGGTGACGTAAGCACCAGAAAGTATAAAATCGCATCCGGCAGAGCGCAAACCAGCTTCTGCTCTTCAGTAGCGCTCTGCCGGATTCGCTTTTATACTTTCTGGTGCTTACGTCACCCCGCCCGTGACGTCTCGCTACTCCATTGGGCTGATTTGACACGTGCTTCAGAACGCGGTCACGCAGAGGCGTTCCCAAAGCGATCTCGACGCAGCTCGAGTTCCTGAAGGGGAACACCATTACGCTCAAACAAAAGCAGCTCTAGAGGGAGAACTGTTTGTCCTTGTATTATTTCATCAGGTTGTTTTATTCTTTAACAAACCTGAAAGTGGATTTTATTAAGTGATATGTAGACATTGAGCAGTTAACAAACAAAAAAAATGTGTTGTATGTAGCATCATATAATGCTACATATGCTACAATAATTAAATTGACAGTCATCGATACACTTAACATACTGATATCCAGATACTAGTGAAGAGAAACTGCAGGACGGTAACTGTGGGACACTGGATCATGTTTCTGAAAGAAAAAGCTTTTTTAGGGGAAGAAGGTGGAAGTCCTGTTCTCATCGTGAATCTGTACTCCAGAAATTCCCATAAAAGATTAATAATGTTCAGATATAGTGACTGGAGAAGCCATGGAAGGTGTCTGGCTTCATCCTGGTGTTCACAAACACTCCTGAATTTGTTTGTCATCTTATAATACAGGAATATCATGAGATGATGGTTTGGACACACCTGGTCTGGTAAAATAATCTCATAATTCTTGGCCGTTCAGCCATTCAGAAAATCACTGAACCTATTGACTCCTGTGAGACGGCTGAGCATTGTGGATTGAAGCTATGCCTTGTCTTTCACCAAACATCTGAATGTAGAAAATGAATGTGGATGACTCATTTTACATTGCACTTTATTTATTGGGGTTTATATTTTGTACTCTAGTTTATACGTGTCTGTGCTGGCCTGAATTCACGTGTTTTTTTTTTCAATGGCAGCTTTAACTCAAATTCCAGCTCTGTGAAGCTCTGCAGTAAATGAGCAGTTTTAGTTCAGACTATCACAGAGGTTTGACAATATTAATGTAGTTTGTTTTTTCCAACTGAATAAGTCTTGCGAATTCTGCATGCAATGGTAAGAGTGCATCATAAATGTATCTGTGGCTCTCTTATTTTAAAACTATCCTTTGATAATTGTTTAAACATCTGGAGACGACTACTTGTAGACTAAATTTCATTACAACACAACAAAATATGATGGCATAAGTACTGGTTGCTCTGGCAATGAAGCAGGACTGAAATAGAGGAATGTGATAACACAGCTCAACACAAGTAGATATGATTCTGTCTGCACATAAAGTCCAACTGACATCTACAAAAGCTTCTTCTATAAATCACCTGTTGAGAATAGTGACTGCAAACTGTGGGATCTCTTATGGAAGACTTCAGCAGGAACAAACAATATTAGCTTTTTTTATAGTGATAATACTGGTCATGCTGAGTGACACTGACCAGGCAGCAGTGACTGGCATACTGTGATATAATTATATTCTGACAGATGTCTGACCCAACACTGGAAAAAAATCACTGGACACAGCAGCTCAACTCAGAAGGATGAAAAAGAGAGTTTATACCTGGTCAGAAACAACTGAAATTGCATCCTGTTCTTTTATTTAATATGAAACAGATTAAACAAGAAGTAAATTTCCATAAAATGTGAAATTTCTTGGTTTTGTGAAAATGTTATCAACATTTAACAGGTTATATTGAGAAATCAAAGTATCTGTATCACTCAAATGAACTGTGAAAGGATTGTTGTTTTCTGCTTAGTTGAATCTTGGCACAAGAAGAAATGCTCAAGATCTTGTGTGCGTGTGAAAATCATTGAAGAATTGCTCTTGTTTTAAGGGATCCGCACATCTGAATAGCATGAAAACCAACAAAACTCTCTCTACATAGTGTGTGAGTATGTGTATGAGACAAATATTTTGTCTCACATCACATCAAGTTCAAAGTGAAGGATGATTCATTGAATGAAATGAACTGGTTACTACAGTGCTCACTTCTGAGCAACAACTCACCATGTTCCACTTTGGAAAGAGGAAATCAGCCCCGATGTACTCGAAGTAATGCGCAAATCCTTCCTTCAGCCAAACATCCTCCCACCAAACCGGTGTGACTAGATCCCCAAACCACTAGAAGAGAAGAAATGAACAATCAATCATCAACAGAAAAAACAGTGACCATTACAAAAGATTGATTTCATGTTCACTGGCGAAGAATTACAACAAATTTTTGTTGTTTTGTACAAGAAAATTGTTTATGGGTAAACTGAAACCAAACTTTATTTGGACAAAGCATTCTATTTAAAGAAAAGAAATATATAGCAATCCACCCTCCTATTTATCCAATATCCACAAAAGCGTATTACATCTAGTGGCAAATGCATTTTATTACAAAAATCCAATACTGCAGAAAAAAATAGCCTGTGCTCTTTGGAAGTAGAAGTACACAAACACTTTTAATAAACAGTTGCACTCTGGTTCAACAGAAAAGTAGTTCACAAAAGGCTTCACAGAACATTGAGAACCCGGCAGAGCTTCTGAACTAAGATTAATAGTGGCCTAAACATTGAATTACCTACAGTTACACAATTAAAACACATTTTTCAGTTTCACAGCATTCACCTAGGAGCTTCGCCAAGGACACTGTAAATGAACAGAATAGAGACAAATAAGGATTCGATTATGAAACATCCCATCTGGAATGTAGAAAGACTCCAAATGACCCCTGCCATTGTGTGCAGATGACAGTGTGCAAAACAGGGCTATTGACTGGAAAAAGATGCAATACTGCAGTTCTAAATGGGCTGAATATTTTCCAGACTCTGAGGCCGTCAAGCAGATGTGCTACTTAACTCCGGATCTCATTGTTGCAGCACACAAACCTCTGTAGGAGTCGGGCCTCTTTCATCTGAACATGACATAATTACAACAGCTCTCAAAGCACCTGACGGGACGATCATCAGACACATGGACTGATAGTGTGGAGAGAAACAGCTGGTATTCTGCTCTCAGAGGAACCTTCTGCTAGACGCACATCAAGTGGCTTCCCATGGGTTTAGTGACTTTTTCTGCCCTCTTCTGATTTGTCAGATGTTCTGACGCTAATGACAGTGAACCAGGATAGTGAGTCATATCACATCACTTATTGTGTTTAAAAAGACAAGCTGCAGAGCAAATGGATTGGTGCAGTGAAATCTTGAGGAATGGCACAGACAGTTCAACAACACTAGAACGTGTATGATTGGTACAAACTATGAGACTCAACCTCGCTCAATTATGTCTTCAACATCGTGTCAGTGAGACGAAAGTTAAACAGAGGGATTCTGCAGATTCGTGCAGGGAAGAGTTCATGCTGTACCTCTATACTGCAGCATATTCAGGACACTTGAAAAAGGAGAAAGCCTTCAATGGCATCATTAAAAAAAAAGAACTTACAGTTATATAAGTCTCCAACGGAGCTGAGAATCATACTGGCATGGAGTCTTCAACCAAACTCACAATTTTGTACAGTAATAGTATTATATGCCTGAATGTGTGTGTAAATGTCCTTCACTGACATTTAATATGTAGTTTCAGTTAAGGTTTGTCTGGTTTGTGACTACAGGGCAAAGGTCATTGCCTTCTCCACTGGAAAACCACAGGAAAAAAGTCCTGAGGCTGTATTTCAGTACAAGCTCAAATGTTCTACATAAACTCAAACCTGCATCTCCCACACAAGCACCATGGTCTAAATCCCTTACAAAAACAACTAAAATTGTAAACTGCTCCAATCACAATAAGAAAACAGAGTGTGAAATCCTTAATTTCATGTGTTTACAGATGTCGTCTTTTATAAATGAGGAAAGAATAAAACAGCAGCCAACAGAAGTGAGTCATTTAGTCAAGACTCATTTCCACTGACGGACCATTTATCCTCATATATTAATGTGCAACTCATATTTAATGTCTAACTATGCTTTTAAGTAGGGTGACCATACGTGCCGTTTTTCCCTGGCACATCCTGGCCAGGATTTCTATATTGCCTAAAATATAGCTACAGGTTTTGGCTTTGTTTGCACTGCACAGACCAATCGGTGTTATGGCATCAAAGTACCTTGAGAGATATAGAGAGCAAGACGGATCCTTATGCTTTCGAACCGCTCTCGTGGTATTTTGATGTCATACACCGATCCGTCTGCGCAGCGCAAACAAATCCAAAACCTGGATATTTTAGGCAATATAGAAATCCTGGCCAGGGTGTGTCCGGGAAAAATGGCACATATGGTCACCCTATTTTAAAGCAATGGTATGAGAGGTATGTGACGTATAATAACTGAAGCCTCACTTTCCCATTGTATTCATACCCAGAGGGCAGAATGTCACCTCTCCAATCTGTGGAAAATAAGAAAACTCAACATCAGCTGCATCGACCTCTAATAGGCTCATGTTATTGGCTGAATAACTGCATATGAAGGGCTGTGTGCAGCATCATTTAATCTGAGAGGCTGAAATGAGTCGAGAAATGAACCCTGGTTGAGTGACTGTGACATATAAACCTCATCGCTGGCGGGGGCAAATCTACTAACAATCAGCTGCTACAGTATCTGACATTAAAATGAGCCAGTATAGAGAGAGAGAGTTGGTCCTGAGCCCCAGAAAGCCAAAGGATAAACTTATACAATAGCAAACAGAGTCTGTCGTCCACTAATCAATTATCTGCAGCTAGTCGGCGCGAGTGACGAGATACAAATGTGATTTGCACTTTGCCACAAGCTCGAGTTATTAGAGAACAGACAGACCTTTTAATATATGACAGAATAAGCGCTGGATGAGGACTCATTTAATGCATTCACAATGAATGTGTCAATCAATATGTCAGGTAAGCATAAGCCCCGCCCACTCTGACACTCTGAGCTCAGCTGAGTTAATCTACACTGGAAAACAATTAGCAGTGTGCTAATTAAATCGATACGACAATGATTCACATGAGACAGAAACAGAGAAACAGTATGAATAGAAAAATGGCATCTTAATTAAAACATAAAGATGAGCAGAAGCTAATCTCTGTCTTTTACTCTTTCTTTGTTTCTTTTTCTTTCTCTTATTCATACGCACACTTAGTCTCTCTCTCCACACAAACACACACTTGTGTTTGATGCTTATTTGGACTGTTTTAATGTTCAACTGACATCCAAAGTTAGCATCAACACACTCTCGCTTTTGTCAAATTGATAGCTAATTCATTGAATTTGTACAATCTCATTAGCACATTAGCACAATCCACTTATGCCCCGGTGACGGTTAGGTTTAGGTGTGGGGTTAGGGGTGGAACTTCATGCTTACATTTCTGAAGAAATCTTACACAAATGCATTAAAAAAAAAGCTTCATAAAATTGTTACATTTTCTCATAAGATCAGGTTGGTTAGCGTACATGCATTTGCAGTGTGTGAGAATTTCTTGCAACACATTGTGTATTGAGATTTCAAACACTTAAATGAAATAGAACTTTAACTGCTTAACTGTATAAGTTTTTTCTATGCTACATATTTTTAAAGCACAAACACTAGATTTCAACTTTACAGTGTGCTGTACACATACATAAATGTGAATTCAGTGGGGACGTTAATGTACTGCAGGACAGTATTGGACATATTTCAGGTTTCTGCCTGTAAACAGCATCACTAGTCAATATTATAGTTCCAGCCTCCACTACAGCTTATTTTCAATTATTCTTGGTTATAAAACAGGGGTTTATATGCTGAGAACAGTCTGATCTGGGATGCCCTCATGAACTCCAGCTCAAAAAATATCAAATATGCACGCTATTGCTGTTTCTCAAATAATATCATGATTGCATGCTCCCTGTGAGAGTGTGTTACTGTATAAGGTTCAGAGTGAGCTCAGACGGAGCTGCATTATCTGTGTAGAAATGAGAGATTGTTTTCCTTTATTTTCTTCTCCCTAAAAATGTCAAAAAGTGAAAACAAATGAAAAGAAAAGAGGAAAGAACTACAGATATGCTGTTTCACCCCTCTCATTGAGCTTTTTATCAAAGCAACGGCACCTAGAACACAATGCAGAGCTGCGATTTAGCAGCACATGAGGAAGACTATTCAAGAGATGAATGCAGAACAATACTGGAGAGCGCAGAACAGCTCCAACATGCTCATAAATAATCCGCCATAACAAAAGACACTAAAATCCAAGGTTCTCAGCAACATAAGAGCTGCGAACAAAAGCTGGTGGAAATTGAGCACATGCAATGAATAATTCCAACATTTTCTTTACAATTCATGATGATGATGCATTTGTGGGCTTAAAGTCCCTTACGGAACATTATTTCATTGCCAAAAAAAAAAAAAAGCTGCTTGTTTGATCAGTGTCTAATAGTCTGCAAAGATACAAAGATACAAAAAAAAAACAGGTTATTTAACACAAGAAAGATGTGTGAAACACTCTAGAGTGAGAGAAAAACAAAGTGAGTGAGAAAGAAAGAGGGATGAAGTAAAGAAATCTTTACTTTCACAATCCCAATGGACATGATGTGTGAAGTTCTTTTTATAAGAGCTGTGCATCAAATTCTCCAGATGTCCAATTACATCTGCCGCTGTTCTGCTCTTTAACTCAACAACTGACCATCTTCACACTCTCTGTTGCTCTCGGACTCCTGGAGATTCTCTCTTTCTGCCTTTTTTCCCTTTTTTTCAGAGGCCACCAGTAAACAGCACTGACAGGACATTCTGAGTCAAGAAAGAGGAGATTTTAATGGGTTTAATTAACATGATCATTAGGATTTTAAATTATTTATAATTATTTTAGTAATTGATTCATTTGCAGGGGATTTTTTTTTTAAATTCCGAACTGGAATAAAATATGTTTTGAAATAAAAAAAACAAACAAACAAAAAAAACATTCTATTCCAGTTTTGTCTGCCAAAGCTGTGACGATATGGTCA